GAGGATCGAACCCAGGGCCTGGCACGTGCTAGGCAAGTGCTCTACCACTGAGCCGTTACAACCCCAGCCCACCCTGACTCTTGTTTTAATAGTTTTTTTTTTTTACATATAAATTAGACTGAACTATATGAATGTCACTTTTTTATGTCAAATAACAGCAATTTCATGATTCAACCTAATCATGCCTACACACAGCAGTTCTAGGTATTTTTGAACTGCATGAAAACAATCCCATTCTGTATGCAATCTCCTGGGACTCTCCTTTTTCCACTCCATATTATATTAACCCAATCCATCCAAATTGCTGTTTTTCATTTATTTTCTACTGCTGTATAATTATTGCTTTGCTTGATTTTTTCCACATTTATCTCCCATTAGCAGTATTGTGTGTTTTCCATGTGGGACTACCATGGACAATGTTTCTTTTCTTTTTTGGGGGGCGGGTACAGGGGATTCAACTCAGGGGTACTCAGCCACTGAGCCAGATCTTCAGCCCTATTTTGTATTTTATTTAGAGACAGGGTCTCACTTGAGCTGCTTAATGCCTCTCAGTTGCTGAGGCTGACTTTGAACTGCCAAACCTCCTGTCTCTGCCTCCCAAGCCGCTGGGATTACAGACCTGCGCCACTGCCACCGCTCCCATCTATGGACAATGTTTTTATTAACATTCTTTTCCACATTTCCTCCCAGTATCTGACTGCAAGAGATTTTTGTGGCTGTGCCTTAGAAATAGACTTGCTGGCTTACAGTACACAGATGTGCACTGTGAGTTGATTAGAGCCATTTTCTCAGCTCCAAATGAGAATATAATGTGCCTCTTGCCCAAGGAGGGAATGTGTTTGAGATGTGTTGGAAGGGTTGCTGTTAAGGCTTTGTTGGAAACTGCATGCCTATGTCTAATTTAGCCAATGAACTTTTTCATATCTTTTATCTCACTGTTCATCCGTTTTTTATTCCTCCCAGGTGGGGAGAGGTACCATTCTTTCTCCTTTTCGACAAGAGAAGGAAAGTGCCTTGTTCAAAAGTCAAATAGTTTGTGCCAACTGCCTGAGCAAATAATTTCCCCTCTCTAAGCCTCAGTTTCCACATCAGTAAAATGAGACTGATAATATCTGACTCCACAGATAAGTGGAAGGATTAATACCATGCAAGCTGGGAGTTTAGCTTAGATCCTGGAAAAGCTGCCTAAGTCATTTGTTTATTGGCCCTATTGTTATTAAGGGTAGCAGGAAACCAGGGTAGGGTGAATTCTGACTTCTTGCCATTCGATAGTGTTTGCCTCCTGCAGGGACCCCCTTACTACTCTTGGAAGGCAGTGATCATAACCCGTTTTGGCTTCCTCTGTTGATCCAGGAGATATCTCTCAGAGCTGCATAGCCTGACGCTCTCTCCATCCTACTTGAGCAGCTCTGGAGCAGAGCTTCACCTGTAGATTTCCCGGAACAGATGAGAGGGTGAACTGACTACTGGGCAAAGAACTCAGGTCCCTGGTTCTGCCTAAGGAAATCGGCGTCAAGCCATTTTCAGTGGAGAGTATTTGCTGAAAACGTAGAATGTGCCAGGCCTTGTGAGGGCCATCAGGAATATAGGAGAAGACCAGACCGGTCCTCAAGGTCAGAGGCTAAAAAGAGGAGAAAGAAGACAAGAAAACAACCTGCTGAGTACCGTGGCAGGGAAGTTCAGAGAAATGTTCCACATTACAGAAAACAGGCAGGCTCAGGAGTCCGGGAAGGCTCCCCAGACATGCCTTAGAGCTGGAGCCTTAAGGGCGCTGGGAGGAGAGCCCGAGCCCTGCACTCGCCCGCCGCCCCCGCGGGGCCTCACTCTCCGGGCTAGGCCGTCCGGCTGAGCGCCGGGGCCCAGCCCAGGTGCCCGCCCAGCGCCCCGGGGCGGGGCTTCAGCCCAGGTGCGCGGCGGCAGCACTTCGCGGAGGCAGGAAGTGTGTCCCCAGCGGCGGCCCGTGGAGCGCTCCCGCGAGACGCTCACCTGCGCCCCAGGTGAGCGGCGAAGGGGGCGGGGGAAGCGCTGAGCCGGAGGCCGCTCACCTGGCGGGACAGGTAAGCCCCGCGCGGGCCCGAGGGGGCGCGAACTGGGGCGGCGCCAGGGGGGAAGCCCCTCGAGGCTGCGCCAGAACGGGGGAGGGTCCCAGGTTCTGTCCCCCGGGGGCTGCCCTCCCACTTCCGGGGTGCGCGGGCCGGGCCCGGGAGCGGCCTGAGCGGGCGTTGGGGCTGGGCAGGCAGAGTGGGGCGAGGGGGCCGTGCGCGCCCGAGGGCTGGGGACTGGGTGCGGGAGCCGCGCTCGCCCGAGGGTGGGAACGGCGTCGGGGCGAGGGCCGAGCTCACTCCGAGGACCGGTGTCAGGACCCGGGAGCGGCTGCGTCTGCCCGCGGGCGGAGGCCGTGCAGCTGCAGGGATGGCGCTCGCCCCGAGGGCAGTGCTGGCAAGAGGCTGCGCCCGTCCCGGGCAGCGCAGGGTCTGGCTCCCCTTGACCCAGGACCAGGCGCCCACGGACAGGGAGTCTTGGGCTGCTCCTTTGCGGCGGGACACTGAAGGTGCACGGATGCCCCCCGCCCGAGCCGACGGCTGTTTGGTGAGCGGGGCTGCTCCTCCCGCCGGGTGTTGGGCTTACTGGGCACAGTGGTGGGACAGAGGTTGCTGCGGCCGGACTGCCCTGGGATCCCTGGGAGGAGGGTCCAGGACTGAAGTGCATCCGTTCGTGGGGACTATGGCGGAAAGGCGAAGCATTAGTGGGAAGTGGGCCGAGCTCGGGATCATCTCTATGGTACCTTGGAGTGCTCAGTGACTGAGCTCCTCCCAGATGCCAGGCACTCTGCTAAACCCCTGTACACTGTGTTTCATTGACTCTTCATAGGAAGACCACGAAGGTACTCTCTTTCCTTATTTAAAAGATGAGGAACCTGAGGCCAGAGTCTTGCCCCCAGCCAAAATAGAGGCCTCCCTCACTCACTAAACCAAAGAGTGTTCCTAAGATTGGGACGGAGGTGGGGGGGGGTAGCAGCAAGGAGGGGAAGATATACCCTGCAAGAAATAGACTGACTTCAGGAGGAGAAACAGCAGCCAGGCACTGACCTCAGGTCTTGGTCCCCACATCATCCCACCCCACTGGAAGTGCATGGCACAGAGCAAAATGCATGGGTTCCAGAGCCTGGCAGAACATAGCATAAATACTGCTTCATCCCTTTTCAGCTTGGTGTCTTGTGACAAGGCACTTCACCTCTCTCAGCTTCAGGTTTCGGATCTGTAAAGTGGGGGTATAGTACAGGGCAATTGTGAAAGTCCTCTTGGGCTAGAGCCTGTTCCTGAACATTCACTGCTATATCCTCAGCATTTAATATAGTGCTGGGCCCAACAATAAATATGTTGGATTAATTTAATCAACAGTAGCAAGTCCTAAAGGGTTGGAGGTGGGGAAGGAGACAGTGATCCAGCCCATCACCAGTAACTCCTGATGCTCTTACAAATTCAGAGCTCAGTATGGTTGAACAGTGTAGATCATCCCACACTCCAGATGAAGGCCTGAGCCTAGAATACTCAGGGGTCCCCATGTGGGCCTCCTGGGACACAGGCTGTCCACAGAGCTGGTAGCTTTGACTGCCTCTTTCCTTACAAGTAACAAATGGGCTGGGATGGTTGTCAAGAGCCCTCTTTTGAGAACTGGGATGGAAGTGGATGAGAGTCCGGGGCCAGGCCAATTGGGTACAAATAAAAGTGTGGCTATGGACAACTTATTTAACCTTTCTGTGCTTCTGTATATAATACCATAAAGAGAGTGGTCAGAATTAATTGGTTTATTACAGACAAAGCAGTTAGAACAATGTAAGCCATCAATAATCACTTTCTCTAAACTCTCAAGGAAGGGAGTTTTGTCTGTTTCATCACTGTATTCACAGAATTTAGAACGATGTCTGGCATGTAGTAGGCCTTCAGTAAATATTTGTAAATTCAGTGAATGGGTTAAGCATGGTGTTGCATGCCTGTAATCCCAGCAGCTCTGGAAGCTGAGGCAGGTGGATTGTGAGGTCAAATCCCGCCTTGGCAATGGCGAGGCACTGAGCAACTCAGTGAGACCCTGTCTCTAAATAAAATACAAAATAGGGCTGGGGATGTGGCTCAGTGGTTAAGCACCTGGGTTCAATCCCTGGTTAAAAAAAAAAAGAGAGAGAGAGAATAAATAAGTCTGTGCCCAACCCCACATTGCTCAAACCATGGCAAAGATTTTTAATCAGGTGCCCCTGAATTTAAAGTCACTTATTACAATTTCAGAGATGAGATTTCACATACCCTCTCCTCTGGATTGTTGGTCCCCACTCTGGTCAGCCTATGGCCTTTTTCTTCTACCCAGTGGTCCTAATTCTACCCTGTTATCCTATAAAATGTGTCTGTTTCCTGAAATACCTTCTGAACCTGACCTTGCTCCACACGCTGAAACAGAAAGGGAGCCCACACAGTTCTTGCCCTTCTGGGTCCTGGTTCTTGGGGAGAGAGGCTCATCTTAAAACAGATGGCACAAGGCTGACCCAGCCCACAGAGCCCAGGTGAAGGCTGTGGGGAGGGGTTTCCATCTGACTAGGGGTTCTCCAGGTCCATGCAGGAGGAGTGCTGTGTGACCTGTGGAGTGGAAGAGTTGTAGGAATAAAAAAAACTCCTGTATCCTCCTCACCCCTCCACTGTCCAACATTCCTCCCTCTAGCTCTAGGTTTTTGCTGGTTGGTTTGAACCATTTGAGATTAGGTTGCAGAGGTGCATCTAAACCCCTAAGTGCTTTAGTGTATATTGCATAAGAATAAGAACAGTATCTTAAATAATTATAGCAATCAAATTCAGAAAATTTAATATGGGCATATTACTAATAAATAATTATCCACATTAGCTAGTCTGTTTTCTAATTTCAATAATTATCCACATTAGCTAATTAAATATTAAAATATTCTCTCTCTCTTAAAAAAATTATTTATTAAAAAAAAAGAATCTGTTTTTCTACAAAAGCATGTGTGAATCACCAAGTACAGGGTCTATAGTTCATTAATCTTCTACAGTGCCTGACAGAGCCAGGCTCAGTATTTATAAGTGAATAAAGTCTTAGCTCTGAGCCTCCTAGCAACCAAGTCAGAAAGAGAATGAAGATGTATTTTGTGTCTCAGTTTTTTCTAATCAGAGGAAGCAAAACTTCTTGGTGTTAAATATTGTTTAGGAGAGCAGCTGAGTCAGACAGGGGACCTATTACTTTCCCATGTCTGATATAAAGGACAAAAAGAAGGAAGGGAAAGTGCTAGTGATCATAGCAAGTGGATAGAAAAGCATTTCTTGAGTCCTTCAGCAGCTCTGTGCCACGCTTCCCAACAGTAGGAAAACCAAGGAGTCCATTTCTCATAAAGTGAGATCCTGAGAAGTCTTTCTGTTTTGTGGTAAAATATACATTAAAATTACCATTTTAATATTTTTTAACCACTTTTTTTTTTTTGGTACCAGGGATTGAACGCAGGGACACTTAACCCCTGAGCCACATCCCCAGCCCTTTTTATATTTTATTTAGAGACAGAGTCTCACTGAGTTACCTAGCACCTCACTACGTTGCTGAGCTGGCTTTGAACTCATGATCTTTCTACCTCAGCCTCTTGAGCCACTGGGATTACAGGTGTGCGCCATTGTGCCCAGCTTTTTTTTTTTTTTTTTTTTTTTTTAAAGAGAGAGTGAGAGAGGAGAGAGAGAGAGAGAGAGAATTTTTAATATTTTTTTAATTTTTTTTTTAGTTCTCATCGGACACAACATCTTTGTTGGTATGTGGTGCTGAGGATCGAACCCGGGCCGCACGCATGCCAGGCGAGCGCGCTACTGCTTGAGCCACATCCCCAGCCCTGTGCCCAGCTTTTTAAAATACTTTTAAGCTTACAGTTCTATGATATGATTAAGTACAATCACATTCTTACACAACTATCACCACCATCCATCTCCAGAATTTCATCGTCCCCAGATGAAAGTCTACCTATTCAACCCTAATTCCCCATTCCCTCTGCCCCAGCTCCTAGCAACCACCATTATACTTTCTGTCTCTGTGAATTTAGTTATTCTGGATATTAATTAATTTATTTATTTTTGCAGTACTAGGAATTGAATTTAGGGATGCTCTGCCACCAAACTGTAATTATTTTGAGACAGGGTCTTGCTAAGTTACTGAGGCTGGCATGGAGTTTGTGATCCTCTTGCCTCAGCCTCTTGAGTAGCTGGGATATAGGTATGCACCACTGTCCCCAACTATTTGATATATTTAAGTAGTGCAATACAATATTTATTCTTTGCTTTCTGGCTTACATCACTTAGTATAATGTCTACAAGGGTTAAGCATTTTGTAGTGTTATCAGAATTTCATTCCTTTTTTTAAAAAAAATTTAGCTGTAGATAGACAATATCTTCATTTTATTTATTTATTTTATGTGGTGTTGAGAATCAAACCCTGTGCCTCACATATGTTAGGCAAGTGCTCTACCACATTCCCAGCCCAAATTTCATTCCTTTTTAAAGCCATATAATATTTCATTGTCTGCATAGACCACATTTTCTTTAGCCATTCATTCATTGATGGAACATTTTGGGTTGTTTTCACTTCATGGCTACTGTGAATAATGCTGTTGGGAGCATTATATACAAATAGATATTTAAGACCATTTTCAAGTTTTTCGGGTATGCCCGAAACTGGAACTGCTGGTATATATGGTAATTGTGTTTTATAAAATAATATTTTTTTCAGTGCCAGGGATAGAACCCATGAATGCTGGATTGAATGCTCTATCACTGACCTATGTCCTTAGCCCTTATGTTTAAATTTTTAAGGAACTCCATACTGTTTCCTACAGTACTTGGCCATTTTTCCTCTCACCAGCAACACACAGGGCTCTGTTCTACGTCCCTGCTAACATTTGTTTTCTGGGTTTTTGTTGTTTGTTTAGTTTTTTTTTTTAATATTTTATTTCTTAGTTTTAGGTGGACACAATATCTTTATTTTACATGTATATGGTTCTGAGGATCGAACCCAGTACCTCATGCATGCTACTCGAGCACTCTACCTCTGAGCCACAACCCCAGCGCCGTTGTTTGTTTAGTTTAAGTAGTCATTCGGTGGGTGTGAAGTCCCAGAGATTTTTGAAATTTGGGTCAGACCAAAAAAGTTTCTCTTTGGGGAGAGAAGAGCACAAACAGATGGTTAATGGGCACGCTTGGCCTCTCAGAAGTCAGAACTCTATTCTCTTTAGGACGGCCGGAGCTAGTCCCTGACCTCCCGTCCTGACTTCTTCCTGGCTTCTCCAGGCAGGTACCTGGCTGCAGGAGACCATGCAGTGAGCCATGCCCCGGCCAGGACAGCCCCGCCCATTATCTGGGCCACCTCGCTTGGGACCCTGGGAGCAGCCAACAGAGCTATGCTTGGAGGCGTATAATGAAACACCGCAGCACCCACCAGGCCGCCGCACCCGGAGACCAGACCCCAAGGACCCTGGCCACCATGGGCCAGAGAGCATTACCTTCATCTCGGGCTCTGCAGAGCCTGCCACAGAGCCCCCAGCCTGCTGCCTGCTCTGGCGTCCCTGGGGGTGGGACTGGTGTCGGGCTGCTTTCTGCTTCCGCCGCTGCAGGGATTGCCTCCAGCGCTGCGGGGCCTGTGTGCGGGGCTGCAGCCCCTGCTTGTCTGCTGGGGACTCCACCGAGGAGGCTGCTGAGGCCAGCTGGGCCAAGGAGCACAATGGAGTACCCCCCAGCCCCGACCGCCCACCCCCTAGCCGCCGGGATGGCCAGCGGCTCAAGTCTGCCGTGGGCAGCAGCTTCAGCTACCCTGATGTCAAGCTCAAAGGCGTCCCTGTGTACCCCTACCGCAGCACCACCTCCCCAGCTCCGGACTCGGACTCCTGCTGCAAGGAGCCACTGGCCCAGCCCCCTCCCACGCGGCACAGCCTGCCGAGCACCCTTGCCAGCAGTCCCCGAGGCTCAGAGGAGTACTACTCTTTCCACGAGTCGGACCTGGACCTGCCGGAGATGGGCAGCGGCTCCATGTCTAGCCGGGAAATCGACGTGCTCATATTCAAGAAGTTGACCGAGCTGTTCAGCGTACACCAGATCGACGAGCTGGCCAAATGCACGTCGGACACGGTGTTCCTGGAGAAGACCAGTAAGATCTCGGACCTGATCAGCAGCATCACGCAGGACTACCATCTGGACGAGCAGGACGCGGAGGGCCGCCTGGTGCGCGGCATTATTCGCATTAGTACCCGAAAGAGCCGCGCCCGCCCACAGACCTCAGAGGGGCGCTCCACCCGGGCTGCAGCCCCAGCTGCTGCCCCTGACAGTGGCCATGAGACTATGGTGGGCTCAGGTCTCAGCCAGGATGGTAGGTGGGACCAGAGAGTCAGAATAGGGAAGGCTCTGGCCAAAGGAGGGGCTGGACTGGGGTCTTGGGCCATTGTGGGTCTTCCTTTCTCCCGTGCATTCCACTCCCCAGCTCCCACTCTGGCCCTTCCCAGTGAGATCTGAGAAAGGCTGAGAGGAGCATGCAGACCCTGCGAGCTCTCTGGTCATTGCTCTGTCCCAGAAGTGCAATGACCCACCCAGTCAACAATTTGACCTAATAGGCTCCTCCACTACTACTTGCCCCAGTAGCTTCCAGACCTAGCCTGGGGCCCATGTGAACTTGAACCTCTAACACAGCCTGGCCTAACCAAAAGACCCACCTGCCCATCTACCACAGCAACTGACATGCAAACACACAGTTTATCTGTGTCCTTGTTTTTAAGCATTATTCCTCTAGCCCTACCCAGGGATGAGTGACCCCTCATTAGGCAGCAAACCGAATTAGGGGGTGGGGATAAAAGAATGTGAAATGATCACTGCTCCCTTATGTTCCCTTCCTAGAACTGACAGTGCAGATCTCCCAGGAGACAACAGCAGATGCCATCGCCCGGAAGCTGCGGCCATATGGAACCCCAGGTGTGGTCCTGATCCCACAAGGAATGCAGAGGGTGGGGGACTATCCTAGGGGCCCCTCACATGCCCCTTTCCCAGCTACTTTTTGGGATGGGGAGGATAAGGTCAGAAAGGGACAAGGGGGCTGAGCAGCCATAAACTCATCCCAGTCTTATAAACTGGCTTCAAACAGGAGGTGCTCGGAAAAGATGGGTTAGAAGGGACCCAATCCCAATTCCAGTCTTCAGCCTTCTGTTACAAAGGCACCCTGTGTGGTTCTACTGTCTTCTGGGCCTTCATAACAACCCCCTGGGAGAAGGAGGCTAGGATTCAGATGTTTAAAATTTAAAAAAAAAAAGTCACCCAAGCTGAGTGACTTGACCAGGCTCAAGCCCTGCTCTGTTCCCGCTCATCAGGCTTCTCCCTGGCAGTGGGCCCTGGATGAACTCTTTGCCCTCTCTCAGCCTGTTTCCTCCTCCCACCAGGGTACCCAGCCAGCCATGACTCGGCCTTCCAGGGCACTGACACAGACTCCTCAGGGGCACCCCTGCTCCAGGTGTACTGCTAATCCCTTCTGGGTATAGCAGCACAACCCTTCTTGGGAGCAACGTAGCCTACAAAATAAAGAGGCATCAGGACCTTCTTTGAGGGAGGCTGGACTGTGAGGCCAGAAGCAGTGCCCACTCTAGCTCTTCCTGCCTTCACTGACTGCTTCCTGGACCATGTGCATTTCACAGGGCCAAAGTGCCCACATCCCCAGCTGGCCTGACCCCTGCCTGGACCTATTCCTTTCTGTGGATCGATCATGGAAAACAAAGACTTAAAGTTATCTTCCAGGACTGAATCCCAACTCTGTCCTCGTAATGTCACCCTAAGCAGTCATCATTGCAAACTTGAAGCTTAAGTAGACTGAGTTGTGGGTGGGCAGTGCCCACTTCACCTTATGCTGCTGAGCAGTTTGTTCTAGCTAACCACCACAGTTGAAAGTACAAAGGTAATGGACTCCTATCTTATAATCTGGGCTACCACATAGTCCTTTCTGCCTGCTTTGCCTTGCCTAATGGCTGCCCAGGAGACAGGACATGGGTATGAGGCTGGGCTGTGTGGCAGAGTTGAGGTCATGATGTGAAGCAATACTGCCTGTGTTCCAAGAACAGTGTGGTACCTGAATAGCTTTTGGAGTTCTCAGTTCTAGGGGTGCTTGTTGGCACCATCGCTGCTCCCCTTGTCCACTGCCTGCAGGGTGGCCTGTCAGCCATCCCAGTCCCCCCAAATCCCTGATCATTTGTCAGCAGCCCCCACCCAGTTTAACCCTGCTGCTCCCCTCCACCTCTTCCCTGTGCTAACAGCACAGTGGTTTTCAGTTACCTTGGCCTTTCTTGCAACCCTAGAGTATAAGGGAACCTGGGGCTGAAAAGTCAAGGAATTAGTGGGTCACAGAGGTGGTAACTGCGGCTTTGGACCTGGAAGCTAACCTTGGGACAGCAAGAGGCTCCCCTTGCTTGGGCACCAGCATCCAGCCTATCCTTCACTGCTCCTCAAACAGGCATGTCTAATAGGATCCTTTCAGCAGAGACTGGGGCAGGTCCACCAACCCATCTTAAACTAACAAACAAGCTGGAAGATGTCCATGGTCTTCCATTCCTACCCCTTTATCTGCAGCCCTTTTTATGTCCCCATGGGCACCCTTTGGAAAGTGACTAGACAAACTACTTGTTTGTCCAGTTTCCTATTAGATACACAGGATACTCCCCTAGGGCTATGACCATGGGGCCCAGTTGTAGCTCCTGCAGTCTAACTGGGCCCTTTCCTCAGGCTCTGTTGTCCCATCTAGGTCAAGGCCTGAGAATAAAACCAGGCTGGGGTGTGTGTAGCTCAGTGGCAGCATTTGTCTAGTAGTCAGGTCCTCCCTGGGTTTGATTTCCATCCAACCAACTGCAGAGCACCAGAGTAGGAGAGTGACACCAGTCCCTCCACTCCAGCCTCAGCCGTAAAACACCTTTTTCTAGTAAACAGCCTTGTGAACTATCATGTGCATTCCCCCAAAACAGGATTTATCAAATTTGGGAAAGAGACAAAGGTAAGTGCCTGCAATGACCTCTACCCTCTGGCAGAAGCAGGGCAGGGCCAGCTAAAGGTCCTGGGGCTGGACAGAGGTAACATGTCCTCAGCTCTGTTACTGCCTAGGGGCTGGCTCTGAGGCTTTAAAAACTGCACATGTCCAGATGAGAGACAAAAACAGTAGGGCCTTACCAGACTTTAGCCTATACTTTAGGGCAGGTCCCTGTACTACACAGAACAAATCTAAGGCATGGGTGATCCCATCTCCCTCACCTGAGCTAGGCAGTGTCACCAAGGCCTTGTTGCTCTTTTGCCCTGGGAAACAGTCCAGAGTTGGAAAAATACTTGATTCAGGGCTGGGGGTGGTGGAGGGACTCTCAGAGATGAAAATAAAATCAATTAAGTCCAGCTGGCCTTAATCTTTGCTGGTTCATGGGCTCCTTTGAGAATCTGACATACGTCTTGCTCTCTGTAGCCAGAAAAACTCTCCTTTGCTTGGAGCCATACAGACTAAAAACCTTGTCCCAATCCTCCAAGAGAGGAGGAGAAATTGAGGCCCCATGAGGGGCAAGGACTTGCTCTAGGTCACATGGCAGAATCTGGGCTAAAAGCCAAAACCCTATCTCCTAGCAGCAGCCAAAAGAGGCCTCCCCCAGGGGAAGGCCAGAAGGAGGAAAGGACACAGGTGGAGCTGGGTGAAGAGGTTTAATGTGTAACAGTAGGCCAACTGGGGAGGGCAAGACCCCCAAGGCCCCAGCCCTTCTCCCATGACGCCCCGGTCCTGTGTGCCTGGGCCAGTCCTATGCCTGCCTCAGTCCTGAGGCTCCCTGGTCCCAGGGAAGGATGGGAAAGAAGCTGGATGGCTGGGGGCTCAACCCCAAGAGTTCAGGGAGGCAAACACAGGAGCTAGTTGAATTTGGCCTTGGAGAAATCCATCTCTGGATGCTGATCCATGAACCTGGAGAAGTGGAAGGAGAAGGTCAAACAGGCAGTCTTCCTAAACCAGTTTGGTCTCCCAGTTTAGAAGTCAGGTCTAACCTCTTTAGAACCCTAGGAAACCTGGAGTCAGGCTGGGAAGGGGTGGGGTCCCAGGTGTCTGAGGCCCACTGGAGGCCCTGTGGCTGGAAACAGGTGCCAACACTGGACACACTTTTCCTGTAGGTGGCAACAACTGCCTGTAACCCCTTGCTTCCTACTGAGTCAGCTTTGCCCTAAGAGTGACCTCAGCAACTGATAAGGGTAGGTAAGTCAAGGTCATAAAGCCATAAACTTGGCTGGCTCATGCTGGAAGGGGGCAGGGCAACCCCTAAGTCCTGCTGGGTGACCCCACTCACTACTGTCACCCAGGTCTGAGCTTCAGGTACCCATCCTACCCAAGTCCCCATCTGAGTTGCTCACTTCTTTAGAATCTCCTGTTTCTTTTGCTCATCCGATGTGGGCAGCCCCATGGACTTCTGCCTCTGGTCATACATCATTTTTTCCACCATGCTGCGTGTCTCACTGTCCAGGTCTGATAGCTGCAGGCAGGCAAGGACAGTGAAGGTCAATGTCTAAGAGTAAGGTCCCTCACCTCCCTGCCGAAGCTCTTCCAACCAGCCAGGGCTCACCTTGGAGTTCTCAGGGTTAATCTTCTTGGTATTGATCTCAGGATCACTGGACACCAAACGGCTCCACCATTCCATCTTATTAATCTGTAAAGAAAAGGACACCCAGTGGTAGCAAGCTGGGGACCTTCACTCTGCCTCAGCAATCACCCTTCAACCATTTCAGAACCAAATTTCTTCCCATCCACATCCTGTACCTGAGACTCGCACAAGCCTGTGCTGGGACCAGAAATATAGATAAGCCAGACCTCTGCTTTCCGAGCAGCTGGGGGAGACAGCCGCAGAGGCCAACAGTGACAAACAGCATCATAAAGGAAAGAAAAAGTTGGATGCTATGGCAAATACCTGTAATCCCAGTGGCTCAGGAGGCTGAGGCAGGAGGGTCACAAGTTTAAAGCCAGCCTCTGAGGCCCTATGCTATTTCCTGTCTCAAAATTAAAAATAAAAAGGGCTACAGATGTAGCTCAGTAGTTAAGCACCCCTGGGTTCATTCCCTGAAACAAAAAATAAAAGAAAGTTTGGAGGGAGACAGTCATGCATGGTGGAGGGAAAGAAGCTAAAGAGTGAAACCAGGCTTCTTGGTGACATGGGTATTAATTCCAGCTAACTGGGAGGTTGAGGCAGTAGGATGGCACTTCAAGGCCAGCCTAGGCGACTTGGTGAAATGCTGTCTCAAGTTATAAAGGGCTGGAAGTATAGCTTAGTGGTACTTGATTGTCTGGCATGTGCAAAGCCCTGGGTTCAAACCCCAGTACTGCAAAAAATATGTCCCTTGATAGAGACCCCTTTTATTTACTGCTGTGTCTCAGCTCTGGAAAGGCAGTGAGGTAGAGAAGGTCGGCTTCCTGAGGGTAGACTTTTCTACATTTTGTTCACTCTTCTCTCCAGTTCTTAGAACAGCAAGTACATGTACAGAGTAGGGGTTCAAGTATGTGCGGAACTGAAAGCATGTGCAAACTTGATGGAAAGGCAGAGACTTGGCACCAAACAGGGTTCAACTATGACTCTCAATCACAGCTCTTTCCTGATTCCAAAGTCCCCTAGTATGGCCCAAGTGGATCAACAGGTCCCTACCCCTCTTGTCAGCACCTGTGCTAGGAAACCAGACCTCACGCACCTTCTCCAAATGCACTGTCACCACCTTGCCATCCTCAATGAGCCAGGAGCTCTCCTCCACCTTCACTTCGTTGTAGAGTTCCCCATCAATGACTGCTGGTTGCCCCTTGAGCCCCACCCTGAGGTGCCGCCGCTGGATATCCACCACCACGTCCTTCCCCTTCAGCCGGAAATTGACACGAAAGGGCACTGCCAACTGCATGGACACAGACAGTCAGGAGGGGTCCCCAGGGGCCACCAAGACCCCAGGTTGGTTCCCTGACCTCCACCCCTGGCTCCAGTCACTCACATCCAGCTCCGACAGGGTCTGGGTCCAGCGGTAGTTGGGCAGGTCAGCCCCATTGCCAAGGTTGGGCTTCAGTTTCCCTTTGTCCTTCTCATCCTCTTCTTCCTCCTCCTCCTCAGCTTCCTGCTCACAATCGGAGGTGCTCAGACAAAGACCAAACTCCACTGGGCCAGGCCCACAGCTGGCACTGGGCATATAGCCACAAAACAGACTTGGCCCCTGCCCACTTCATGCAGGGGTAGATAGACCCAATACCCTAATCCACCAGGAACCAGAGGTAAAACTAGTTCTGATATCTAAGAGGAACTCAAAACTATTTTACCATGTGACAAAGGGCATGGCTGTACCCACAGACCCCAGCCTACTTTGGATGGTGCCCTATATAGGCATTGCCCCCTCAGGATATTAGGCTTTCTACGTAAGGTCTAAGGCTAGTGGGAGCTGTTTTGTTTTTTAACCGATATCCATGTGTTCTATGTGAATCAGATCTTGAAATATGTGGAGGATCCCTAAAGCTAGGAGTCAGAGGATGGTAAAGGAGGGCATTCCAGAGGACTACAGAAAGGCTAGTTCTCAAGTCTCTAACTAGTCCTAAGTGTCAACAATCCATCTCACCTGCTTCCCTGGTGAGCCAAGGCTGCCATTCTTGAGCTGGGCCTCATGATTCTCTGCATCCTTTTTCTGTGGCAAAGGGTACAGCAGTTGGCAACACAGTCCCCACTTTCCAGTGCCAATGGAAATCTAGGGAGGATAAAAAGGGAAGCCCACCCTAACCTGGTCAATCTCCAGCTGCAGCCTCTCTGCCTCCTCATCAGTCAGCTCTTTGATCTGTGGCCCGGGGGTCTCTGCTTTGGCTTCCTTGGCCAACCTGGCCGCCCTTTCTGCCTTCTCCCGCCGCTCAGTCTCCTGCCGTGCTCGCTTCTCCCGCCGGGCCTTCTGTGCCAGCTGGTTGTGGTGGTTAAAGGTCTGTGTGATAAGCTGGAAAATGCAGAGAAGACAGTAAGGCATTAGAACAGGGGACAGTGTCCCAAGACCTGAAGTCCAAGTTCATCTCTACCTGCTGGGCACTGGGCAAAGCACTGTACTCAGAACTTGTTTCCTTGCCTGTAAAGCGGAGATAGTACACTTATCGCAGAGTAATAATGAGAATACCTTCAGCCTGGTACAGTGGTGTATGCCCGTAATCCAAGGAACTTGGGAGACTGAGACCAGAATCACAAATTCAAGGCCAGCCTAAGCAACCCAGCATGGCCCTAAGCAATTCTGTGAGGCCCTGTATCAAAATAAAATAGGGGGGCTGGGATTGTGGCTCAGTGGTAGAGCACTCGCCTAGCATGGCCGTGACCCGGGTTCGATCCTCAGCACCACATAAAAATAAAGGCATTGTGTTGTATCCATCTACACCTAATAAAATAAATATTTTTTTAAAAAATCAAAATAAAATAGGGCTATGGGTGCAACTCAGTGGTTAAGTGTACGTGGGTTAAATCCCTGGTACCAAAAAAAAGGGCTGGAGCCAGGGGCATAGCTTAGCAGTACAGCACTTGCCTAGCATGCTTGAAGGTCCTGGGTTTGATCTCCAGCACCACATGAAAGGAAAAAAAAAAAAGTAAAGCTGTTACAAGCAGAATCAAGCATTAGCCAGCCCCTTTAAGGGGCAGTTGATCCTCAACTTCTTTTACCTGTGTGTGTCCTGTCCCCTGAAGCAAAGCCCCATTCAGGCAGCACTACACCAGAAGGGCCATATTAGCAGAAGCCAGAAGTTTCCTAGGCAAGAGACTGGTCTCCCTCTCCCTAGCCAGCAAGCAATCAATTTCAATCCCTTCCTCTCCCATTAAGCGTTCCCAGGATGCTTCCATTCCACAACCTGCTAGCTGACCTCCCTGCCACACTGAAGTGCTACCCCTCTTGTCACCTGTCACTATCTGGCTGTGAGGCTTCACAAGTGAACAACTTTAACTCTT